ATACATATTATATATATGTAACGTCATACGTAATATATTTTAATATTAATATAAGTACATATATTAGTATTAAAATACACTTAGAATGACGTTACATATATATGTATAGATATTATATATATAATAGATATATACACATATATATTATATATATATATATATATATACATATAATTACAATAAATAAAATAAATAAAATATTGAAACAAAATTTAATATAAATTATATATTCATATGTAATTTCATTCTAACTGTATTTTGTTAATATATATATATATTGGTAACAAAATACACTTAGAATGACATTCTATATATATCTATCTATATATAAAATACAAATAACCGCAAATATATATATATATAGATAAATACATATAATTACATGAAAGATTACATTAGTATACACGTAGAATTTAAATACCTATAAATGCATATATATTAAAATTCTACATGGATATTTAAGTAATCTTTTAAGATAATTATGTGATTTGATTAATTAAAAATGTAATTGACATGCCTGACAACACAGGGAGAAAGTGCAGAGAATTTAATTCGCAAACACTATATTTGACCCTGTAACTCTCCAAGACACCATAAAACCTGTACATAGGGGGTACTGTTTTACTCAGGAGACTTCGCTGAACTCAAATATTAGTGTTTCAAACTGGTAAATTGTATTACAACGATGATATTTTAAGTAAAAGTGAAGTTTTTTGCATTTTTTACAAACGAACGGCACTTTTATGGACTATATTATTGTTGTAATATGTTTTACTGTTTTAAAACACTAATATTTGTGTTTAGTGAAGTCTCCCGAGAATAACAGTACCCCCCATGTACAGGTTTTATGGTGTTTTGGAAAGTTAGAGAGTCACATATAAGGCTTGCATTTCATTTTTTCGACATTGAAATTTGCCAGATTAGTTATGTTGCCTTTGAGAGCGTATGGTAGCCCAGGAATGAGAATTAACCGCATGATGGCATACCATTTGCAAAAGTAGACAACCCAAGGTATTGCAAGTGGGGTATGTCCAGTCTTTCTTAGTAGCCACTTAGTCACAAACACTTTGGGTAATTCTCATTCCTGGGCTACCACACCGTCTCAAAGGTAACATTACTAATCTGGCAAATTTCAATTTGAAAATGGAACATTCTATATTTGACCCTGTAACTTTCCAAAACACCATAAAACCTGTTAATTGGGGGTACTGTTGTAGTCGTGAGACATTGCTGATTACAAATATGTGCATTTTTTGGCAGTAAAACCTAACAGTATTATGACATTCACAGCTAAAATGTCAGACGGAAATACAAATTTAAAAAAAAATAATAATAATTTTCTCACTTTTTTTTTAAATTTTATTCATAATAAATTATGTTCCATATATAAATAATTAATGATAAATTAAAGCCTAGCTGTCTCTTGGCTGCGAGGACCGCAAAAAGGAGGTCCCCGTATATGGCTATGTCACAACCTTCGAAGTATATGGTTCCCAGCTCTCTCGATTTGGCCATAATCGCAGACCGAATTGTAATGTCTTTGGTCGTGGCAATTATGTGTCTTGGTGCGTCTGCTGGGGCAGCTGCGGCTTTGCGGACCCGGAATTCTGAGGTTAGTGTCTCTGAGCCTGTGTTGCCTCCTATGCCCAGCGAGACCATGAAGCATCGGAGGAAGGGCAGTGCTGTGTCCCGTTCAATATGCTCCGGGATGCCGCGGAGGCGGATGTTCCTCCTTCTGTGCCTGGACTCCATCACTAACATCGACTTGGTAAGTTTCTGTACTTGCTCTGTTAATGCTTGCAGATTGTTGTGGGTGTCTTGCACTTTCTGGTCCCTGGCTACTTCTTTTGTCTCGATCTCTGTGACCCGTTGTTTGAGGGTCCCTATTTCCGTGCGTGTGTCTAAGAAGTCAGCCTTCCACACACGCCGCATATCCAGCAGGAGATTTTTAATGCCTCTTTTTGTTGCCGGTGAGGAGTCCTCACCTGACTGACTCATTAGAGGGGGTCCCCTCCGACTGTGAGGCTGTGGATTCCTCTTCCTCTTGGTAGTTCTCCGAGGCCTCATCCTCGCTAGGTGGGTCGGGCGCTATTTTGGCTGGGCCCCGCGGGTCTAGGCCTCCCAAAGGATAGTCTGATATCCTGCATTTTTGGAGCCTCTGGATGGCGAGGTTTTCTGTTTTTTCGCCCCATAGTGTCTTCTGTGTGAGGGTGGTTGTCTCTCAGCGTGTTTTGGATTTTGTTTTCAGTGTTTAAAATGGCTTTTCCTGAAATCTGGGACAGAGCTCTGTGTAAACACGTCTTCTCTGTTGCTCGGTTGGCCACGCCCATCTGACACCTTATTTTTTAAAGATCTGTATGTAATGTTACAATTACTCCAAAATTGATATATTCTAGTTTTAAATTGGCATAAAGTTATGGGAAGTGATTTCATACCACGTTGCGGAACCTACCGCCAATTTTGTCTGTTTTGCCTTTTTCCCATTCAGGAGTTATGATATAATACTATACACAAAAATAGGTGGAGCTGTAAAATACCTCTCTTCAAAATACAGCCAACAAAGCTGAAACAGAAACAGAGGGAAACACAATAGTGCAGATAGTTTGATAAATACAGAGTAAATCCGATATCTTTAAATAGCACACTCACAAAGGTAGAGCCATAAAATAACCTGGCTCTGGTCTGGATGTCAGTAGGATCCTTAAGGGGAGATCCAAACCCCACTTATTCCAAAGATAGGTCAGATAAAAAACAAAAGCATAATTAAAAGTCCAATAGTCACCAAAACGCGTTTCGCCTAATAGGCTTCCTCAGTTGGTGTATACTGTGCATCAAAGTCATTGTGATTCTTTTAAATCCGTCCATTTGCTACAGATTCGCGGTATTTTTCTCTGTGGAACGCATCCTGCATTCCATCCGGTGTAGGCAATTCACTTCCGGTTCAGCTTGATGTGTTCGCCATCAGATTCCTGTTTTGCCGATCAGGTGATCGGGGTGTCGTTCGTGGAACGCACATGCGTTCCATTAAGCATACACATCCGCCTCCTACACTAAATACAAACGGATATGACGGCTGTGGAACGCAAATGCGTTCCACCAATGGAAATTTATAGAAAAAGCATACCGAGCAAAAATATATATATGTATACATACAAATGAAGTCTTTACTAAGTTAGAAAGGCAAGACAATAGAATAAACGAAAGTGAGGATGGAAGTGGTGATTAAAAAACATATATATCACCACTCTTATAGAGATTACATGGGAAAAGGATAATTAACAATAAAAATCAATTCTACCAATTGTAGCTTATTAAAAATGTACACATAAAAAAAAAAATATATATATATATATATATATCACCACTCCTATAGAGAGTACACATATAAAATATATATCACCACTCCTATGGAGGGTACATGAGAAAGGATATGTTAGCAATGAAGATCATTTCTACCAATGAAATATACACATAAATATAAATCGAATATATATTTACATATATGCATAAAAGAGATAACTCAAATACTAAAAATTAACATAAAAAATGGCATAATTCAAAATCTTGGTTCAGACCATTAGGGATAAGTGTGTTAAAATTATAAATACATCTCATCCCCTCCTCACCTATTTTTTTTTTAATTAAAATCTCCACCTCTGCAATTTTTGTGTACTAATTTAATTGCGCAAAAGAATAGGTCTCTTGGATTACTATTGTGATAAATTTTGTAATGTTGTGAAACACTGTGTTTCTAGCCCTTTTCTTATATTGCGTACATGTTCTGCAATATTGACATGTAAACACCTAATAGTCCTATCAACATAGATTAAATTGCAAGGACACTTTAAAATATAAATCACATTTTTTGAAAAACAAGTGAGCTGGTCTTTAATAGCAAATTATTTTATCTTTATATGTGAAGGAGGTAATATGTATTTTTGTATTGTTTGTTTCTCTACAAGCAAGACAGGATCCACATCCATAAAATCCTTTATTTTTATTTAAAAAATGTTCTGTAGACTGGCGTACGGACCAACTCTCTTTCCTAGGGATAAAATTCACGCAATCAGTGCAACAACTTTTTAAGGCCAACTATACAACACTACAAACACAAGTTCAATCACTTCTCCAGGGATGGCACAAAAAATACATTTCCTGGACAGGCCGGGTGGCTGCAATAAAAATGGTGGTCCTACCCAAATACCAATACCTCTCTCGGGCATTACCAATCCGAATACCACAATCCTACTGCACAGAAAATCAACATATATTGAACAAATTCATATGGGCAGATAAGAGACCAAGACTAGCCAATTCAACAATGTACAGACACCACAAGAAAGGAGGCATGAGCCTTCCCAGTATACGCCAATACAACCACGCGGCAAATATTAACCCTATAGTTATAGCACAAACACAAGAAAATAAACCACAGTGGGTGACGTTAGAATCAGCAGCCACTCCGGGACATCATTTCTGATCACTTATGTGGATCCCACACCACAGCAAACCCAAAAACCTAAAGATGTTACCCATGACCGCTCTAACAAAACACATCTGGGACACCCATAGAGCGAAACTATGTATGACACGAGCTTACTCACCAGCGATGACGATCACCACATTACAGTCAATGATCCCAAACTTCAACTCCCATATATGGGGAAAACCACATATACCACTTTGCACAAATTGTACAAGGGAAAAATATCAAAACCTTTCAAGATTTACAAAAACAATATAGCTTACCAAACACAGCTGAATATGCATATCTGCAAAAAAGAGCATGGCTCCTAAAACATTACCTGCCAGCGATAAAACTTGTAAATGAGCAACGGCTGACGAGCTTCGAACGATCACTAAGAGCAAAAATGCCAAACAAAAAATCATTCTCCCTGATATACGACTGCCTAAACTCAGAAGCACATAGCAAAAGTCTAACTTTTGTGCAAAACTGGGAGAAGGACCTAAAACTCACCTATCCAGACACATAATGGCAAAAACAATTTACCACTCAAAAAAAATACACGTTATGCTCTCCTCACATAGAACGGACCAAAAAGATTTTGTACAGATGGTACTTAGTCCCAACAAAATTACATAAAATGTTCCCCGCAGTATCAGATCACTGCTGGAGATGTCTGGAAGCTAAAGGCGACATGCTCCACATTTGGTGGACCTGCCCACGATTATCCACCTATTGGAAAGAAGTAGCTAACCTAGTATCAACAGTAACGGATATGAAACTCCCCAAAGCCCCAGAAATATACCTCCTTCATAAATACCCCCCCCCCCACCCCGCAACTACACCAGCCACGGCATATCTCACCTACCAGGTCACTATAGCAGCACTAACGCTAATCACAACGGCCCCAACAATTCAAGAATGCACACGACAAATAGAACAAAATAAGACATACGAATGCGCAGCCAGAAAGGCGGCCAACCAAAAACAACAAGAATTGAAAAATTGCCTGGGAAAACTGGAATCCCTATTGTTGAGTTTGTTAGTTGTTGTTATGAGAAAACTTCACAGCATGTGAGAACTATAACAGAAGGCCATGAGTGCCTTATATACATATGGTAGGGTAGACACAATGTGACAATTAGATCCTATTAGAGTATTTATGTATCTTTTTATTTTTGTAACATAAGATCTTTTCTTTCAATTTTCTTCACTTTTCCATGCAATTTTGTAATTTTCCGGTGTCATAGCCTTTTTCTACAAACTGTTCGTTAATTTTTTCTGCTTGGGAAACATAATCAACATCTTGCGTGCAATTTCACCGTATCCGTAAGAATTGGCTCTTAGGTGCATTTGTTAGTTAGCCATGGTGGATAATGGCAACTATTCATCTCAATATAACTATTCGCATCAACATCTTTAAAATGATTCCCAGTATGGATAGTAGAATTTAAAATAAAAATTTTCCAAATCTAGTTAGATTTGCTATACTTGCTATACGTAGAGGTTAAAATGATCCCCCAATTGTTGTTATTCAATTCATCTAAAAATAAATTAAGACTTTCTTCTCCTCCTTTCCAGATTAAAAATATATCATCGATGTATCGATGATAGGACACCAAGTTCGCTGCCGCCGTATGTGAAAACACTAGCTGCTCCTCCCAGTATGCCATAAAAAAGTTTGCATAACTGGGAGCGAACTTGGTGCCCATCGATGTTCCTGTAATTTGCATTAAAAAAAATTAATCTTTAAACCAGAATGTTTTTTTTCTAAAATCAATAAAATCCCTTCAAGTATAAAATCTATTTGTGGTTCTTTAAAACCCGATTTATCTAAAAAATGCCTTTATGCCAATAGGATGAGGTATAATGCTATATAAAGAACTAACATCGCAGGTCACAAGTAACTAATCATCTTGCCATTCAATATCTTTAAGAATCTGTAATATGTGTATTGTGTCTTTAAGGTAGGAAGAAATCTTCACTACCAAAGGTTGTAATAAGACATCAATATAATCAGAGACCCTAGACGAAACAGAGTCTATGCCAGCAATGATAGGTCTTCCTGGTGGGTTTATTTCATTCTTGTGCATTTTCGGCAGATAGTAAAAAAACTGAATTTTAGGATATTTTATAGATAGATATTCTGCTTCTTTCTCTTTTAGAATATTCATTTCTAATCCTTTATCTGTATACGCCTAAAACTTAGTTTGTATATTGAGGCTTGGATTATTGGGTAATTTTTTTATAAGTACTGGTATCCAACAGAATTCTGCCTCTTTAACATAATCTTCTTTATTTAAAATCACCACACATCCTCCTTTATCTGCTGGCTTAATTATATGTTGATCATTATTTAAAGCCTTTAAGGCCTTCTGTTCTTTTTTGGACACATTTTTTTGAAATGTATTTGTTTTCTTTATTTTTTGTACATCTCTCAATCATTTTTTCAAAAGTTTTCATTTCATTAGAAACCATAAATTTAGGATAAAATTGTGACTTGTTTCAACTCTGTTTGTATATATTCTGTGTTTAATATCTCAGTTTGGTTTGAGTCTTTATTAAAAAAGATTTTTTTAAGGGAGTTATGATATACTAACACCCTCCATTCGTCTACTGAACGAGGACCACCCATGTGTATCCCATTGGAATGTTCATGCTAGCAACTTAAGTGTAAACCGCAAGGGAAGTAATTAATGAATGCTTCCCCTGGGTGGCCGCCATATAACCAAATGCATGTGGTCGACAAAAGAATGGTGGATATTTTGCCTCCCAAAAGTGGGCAGCGGCACGTCATCGAGTGCCTGGAACTCTTTTTGGCTAGGCACTCTCACGAACCCCGGTAAAGATTAGACTGTTGTCTGTTCTACTTCCTGATCAACTGTGTATTCGTACCCTGAAATTATGAGAATCCCTTGCACAGGAACCCCCTGAAGAGAGACCGGCTGGGACACGAATTTCCCTGGAACGGTTTTGGGCTTGCGCCTCGTGTTCGGCCATTCAAAACATTACCCAGTGGCATTCCAGTAGAAAGAATAAAACATTACATTTTCTCCTATGCAGGGCTGCTTCATTTTATATGTTAAAGTCAGTCGCTTTATCCAGATAGCTGTGTAAAGCAAGGTAGTAAGTATTGAACATGCAGGCTATGCCCAGCGCTGAAAACCTGTAGATTAACATGCGTGAGGATTACAGGTAAGGCTCAGTATTGAGACTAGTAGTACGTTCTAAATATAAGATTGTAGGTAAATACTCTGAAACCCACTTACTATATTATTTGCTGTTCACTGAATATGCCAAGTCATACATTGCTTAGTTATGCTGGGCAGTGTATGATGGGTTAGATCTCATTATGTAGGTATCTGATTAGTTTGCCTACGCGTGTAACATGCTTGACTGCATTCATGCTATCAACTGCTAATAACTATGCTTTAGAGCACTGGAATACAGGTATTCTGTATGTATGGTCATGTGTAACTGATACAGATATATTTAACGTCTAAAATCTGTATGTAGATTAGTAACATGAGTTCACAATAAGCAGGGTCTGTCATGTACTCTTTGCCCTTGTAGCTCTTCAGTGTGCCATCAGGTCACACGGATCTTCTCACCCCTTCAACCTATGCCCTGTCTCAGGAGAGGTTGGTGGTCTCTTTGTGGCTTGCCAGTTTTATGCAGTAAGATGCTCTTTGCAGGAGTGTGGGGCTGTGCCTCTTTGCCGCATGGCGTCCCAGCTCGTGAATACGCCATCTTGTGATGTCGTGGGTGTCCGGGTCCCGTGTGCTTGGGCCCTGTTTTTGCAACCTGCTTCCGCTTGCCTTTTGTGGGGCAGTAGGTGTATGCTGCTGTATGGGTCGCTTCACCTTGCTGGTGTTCTGCTTTTCCTTCAGGTTGCGTGTTGGCGCCGAGTGTTTAGTGGGTTAATCTGTGGCATCGTCGGGTCAGCTACAGGCTGGTCAGGCTGTTGTGTACCTCTTTGTCTTGCTCCCAGTTTTGCCCAGAATCTTTCAAATATTAGGTTTAGCCGCTGCAAGGTATGCCTCAGTTGTGGAGCTGTCCACCATCTTGTGTGCCGCTTCGTGATAACACACAGTGGGCGTGAGCCTCCTGGGACCGGGATGACCCCTGCAGGTCCAAAGGAGGGGGGGTAGGGAAATAGAGGTCCGCCAAGCTGAGTGATCTGTGCTGGAGAGCGGCAGTCTCCCCAGCGTTTGCTTTACTGGTAGGCCGCAGTCGGTTGAGGATCGGTGGACCGGACTTGAGCGGTTCCACGTTTGGAGTCTTTCAGTTCCCCATGTTCCCCTCACTGCTGCCCTTGCTTTTTGTGGTAAGTTCCGCTGCTTGGTTGCTCGTGGGGTTAGTTTTAGCTCGCTGGGCTCAGGAGCTCGTGCTACCTGCGTCCATTTGGCTTGCCAGTCAGGCCCCGCCCCCTTGTATAGATTTTTTTTTGTACCAGAGAAATGAATTATAGGTTTCTCATGCAATTTTCTCTCAGGGACAAAAGGATCATGGGAATGAAAACCCTGTATTATTGTGATTGAGACCCCATGTAGGGGTCTGTGCATAAAAGCAGTGTGTGGCCTGAAATAAAGTCAGTTTACTCCCAGAACTATATTTTGTCTGGTTACTGGAAGAATGGATGTCTGCTTGTTTTAATGGTTCCAGTCTGGCTGAGAGAAGGAATTAGCAGAGGTAACCAGTCTGCTACGCCATAAATTTGGTACCTAGTGCTAAATATACACACTCCAGATTCTGGTGATGTTTTCTTCAGTTAGCCTGCTAGTGAAGCGAGTGAAACCAAAAAAAACTGTTCATAAGCTGTAGAGTACACCATTATTAAAAAAGTGACCGTTGTCCTTGAAGATTTTACTGCTGGCAATATTTCCCTCCAGTGCTAGAACATAGAATATGCTCAACTAGACTCAGACTGTCCATTTAATACACATTAAAATTTTGCATTGTAGGAGACAGTGACACAAAAACTTACCAAAAGACTTAACTTTATTTATACTTAAAATACACATTTTATAAATAGAATTACATTTACAACATTTAAATAGTGCATGATCACTTCCTAATCCCCTCCCCCAGACAAAATCCTCTAAAAAGTGGCATTAGTCTTCCCATTCATCATCCACTTCTCCATCTTCATCTGGAATGAAAGAAAAAGATTGAACACCTTGAATCATGCCCTCCAACAAGCACACAATGCAGCTGTGTTCCATGTTCATATTTAGCAGTTATCTTGGCTCAGCTTTAGAATTTGTGGCAGTAACAGTTGTGAATTAAAAAATAAAAAAAAAATAAAATAAAATAAAAAAACAAAAAAAAAAAACAAACACACACACCACTCATAGGAGCAGGAGCCAATTGGCCAGAAGTTGCAGCATTGATCTGCTGCAAGTGTATAAAAATTACAGAGAGACAGATTTACAAAATCAGAAGCAGTTATCCCTGGTGTTACGAGTGCAGATGAAGTTTGAAAACAAGAATTAAAGTATTGGAGTAGGTTGACCTGCCGAATTAAGTAGGTTGCTATATGGACAGTGCCTGGCATGACAGTTCTAACACTTTAAGGACCAACACTATAGTGTTAGAAAACAGTAAATTTTACTTACCATAAATTCTATTTTACTTAGTAGAGTGGCAGTACTGCATAAGAGGGAACAACCCACTTGTGCAGTACGGTCACTTAAGACAGTTTTATATTCCTGACACCATAGTGCCCCACTGCACACCCTCTCCCACCCTGCAGCAGTTAAAAAGGATTGAAACATCTTATTCAGCGCCAAAGTCACTATTCTCTGAATTAGGCTTTGTGGAGGTAAAACTTCATTTCTGAGTGAGAAAAAAAAAAAAAAAAAGTGCGACCTCTGTAGAGTGTTGCAAGAGTCAAAACCGTAGAAGATTTTCTTATTGAATAAAAAAAATAAAGATATATATAAAAAGTTTAAAAATGATATATTTACACAAAACTAGGGGAGCACGAACAGGAGTTTATAATTGAAAATACACACATTTTCTTTCATTAAAGTGTGGACTGTATGAATTACACTGTGTTGTATGAATTACTTGCCTGATGACTGTATTGCTTTGTGTCTTTTTTGGATAACGTCCATTAATGCATTGACAATGTTGGAGGAATGAACAGAATCAGTTTTTGAAGCTTGGACAACCTAGAAGAAAATACAGGTAAATGCTCCGCTCCCCTCTCTCCCACAACAGAGAAGACAGCACATATCCCAGCACACAGGAGGAGGCTCGAGAGCTCACAAAACTTTAGGCAATACTCAAACTCAATACTCAAACAAAGAGGCCATGGTTGATGTGCTCAGTACCAGCAAGGCAAACAGGACATGAGACCAGGCTCCTTAAGTGTGATGCCTTAGGCACTTGCCTTATAACAGGGCCACCTCTACAATATATCACACACTGGATTCCTATACTCAGAAGCTGAAGTTTGTTTTTATTTTTGAAGAGGAAACCCAAAGTTAAAAATGTATGTAAAAATACACTGGTGTGTCTTGTATTCCAGTGCATCTTAGATTCTGATAAATACAGTACATACAATGTCAGTCTCTCTGCAAGCCAAGAATTTCATATCTTATAGAGAATGTATACACACTAAATTGTTTAGTGGAACTTTCCCATGCAGGATAACTAACACACAAAGCACACACCAAAACAAATAAAAACACTACTCCAGATCTCATTGTGATGCTGTTTGCAGTTTGAGTTTGTGCGTATGAGCCATTTAGATGTTACACACACACACACCAAAATTGTCAGCCATGCAGTGTAACTTGTCTAAATGAAAATAAAGTTTGTGTTACCGGAAATGCAAATGAAAAATTATATATATGGATTTCCATTCAGATGGATGGAAAACTTCAAAATAACTCTAATTTGGTACCCTTATGTGGGATTGCCATACTTTAGGGTACCAGATTAGGGAAGAAGTTGTGTTTACTAGGCAGCTATCTAATAAATACCTGAAAAGGTCAAAATTAAGAAGGGCTTTTCTAAATTTAGATTTAAAAAATTATTTTTAAAGCTGTGTAGTAGATAACTCCCTAAATATAAATCAGTACCCTTACATGGGATTGCCATATGTAAGGATACTGAAATTAGGGAGCTATATACTGAACAAACTTTCAGTCTTTGGTACCCTTAAATAAGGTAACCCAATATCAGGGTATCAATTTATTGAGATTGACCAAATAGGTTTATCACACGATGTGTTCCTTAGTCCATTCTCCCATTATGCTGTTAAGAGATGTGGAATTCAGACAAATGGCCCGATTATTTTTTTTAATATGCACAATAAATAAAAAAAAACAAACAAACAAACACACAATTTGCCCTTCCCAAACATGTACAGTACTTACAGTCTTTAGCTGCACGCCCTGCTTTATCTGGTCCAGAAATACATTTGGACAGTTTTCACTAAATGTTGTTTTATCAGGGAGCGGGACCCCACCTCTTTGTATGCATGCTTTCTGGGAAAACGCTGTAAATGAATAGATGGGGGATGGATCCACACTCTTTGCAGTTGGCTTGTTCTCAGAGGTGTTTTTCATAAATTGAGGTAGGGGAGGGGGAGGAGGTGGAGCAAGCACATCATCTGTAGGAGTGGTCCCCTGAGTTTCAGGTTTTGGCTTCTCAAGGGAAGATTCTTCATTAAGGGGAGAAGGCAGTGGAGCGTCTGTTTTAGAGTTTTTACCAAGAGGGAAAGGTAAACAATAAGGAGGGGGAGCCTTTATATTTGAAAAGCATTGGCCAATTTTAGGCTTTGGTGGTAAAGGTGGGTTACGAGTTGTGGATTTACAGACTGGAACCAAATCCAAAGATAGAGACAAGTCTTTTGAAGATTGACTTTGTGAAAAGAGTGGTCTCGTTGCTTGGAAATCTTTGAGAGATTGTGCGGTGGGTATTGGAGGTGGCACCCTGCTGAGAGATGGTAGATCATTCAAAGCAGGTGGTGGTGTGGTAGCCTGAATCTTCACTGCCTGGGGCGAGTGAGCAATGGGACTACCAGCTCTCTTAGATGGAGTCAGACTTGAAGAAGACAAGGAGCGAAGTCTGCTAAAATGTCTGGGTCTTTCCACAGTTGCTAGATAAAGGAGATAAAGAAAAATAAAGTGTGGGAGGTGGGGGACAGCAACTCCATGTTTTAGAAAATGAGTGCGTTCAACCCCCACCATAGGAGGAATAAAGCAATCTTGGATACAGAACATACTCAGCCGAAGAGTCTCCTTCCTCACTGCTTCCATTCCACCCTTCTTCTCGATCACTTCAAAGATTTTACGGGACATCTGTCTGTCTCTCAAGTGGTCATTAGTGATGCCTGCCAGGTGAAATAACTTCTTCAGGTCGGAATCAGACCCCATCTAGAATATACAACAAATAAAAACTACTCCTTATTAGAGCACACACACACACACAGAGCAAAAATTCTGAGTTTGGATTTGAAAGGTAAAAGACTTATTTTTTTGTTGAAGGTACATATAACTTCGTCTTGGACGATTGCTCATGGATAATTTCACAAAGCAAAAAAAAAAAAAAAAGAAAAGAAAGGGAAGGAGTGGCAGGTCCATTATTTTGACACCAAGAGCTTACTACTGCCACTTCAATGTAAGAAATGTGGTTTCAACAGGATGGAGATACTGCCCATACAGCCAGGGTTACAATGGTCAGCCTGAGAAGACTTTTCAGTGAGCAGATATGTTCGGGAATTTCCCAGATTAATTGGCCACCATGTTCACCTGACTTTCTGTGGAGCCATTTGATCGAGTGGGTGTACTTAAAACTTTAGCAGCTCAAGGAGAAGATCCATACAGAAATTGTTATGAACAATGCAATTGAAAGAGCCAGACTTTGCAAGGTGGATAGTTGAGCTCATATTCCGTACCTAGTCATACAAATCTCCATACTTCGGCAAGGGATTCTGCGTGGGCAAATGTGGTTAACAAAGAACCACCTTTTTGCCTCTATATACATTGATTCATTTGCGTAGGTCTGCTACACACAACAGCTTTTAAAAACAAACAAACAACTGAGGAGAGGTGCAAAAGGCAGATAACTCAGATAGTCGTTTTGTTTTTGCAACGCAGCAACAGGTGGTTTGTTACGGAATTAGAGGACGGAGATTAACAATTTGCAATATAAAATTGGATGTGCATCTCCCACAATATTTTTCCACAGATCCTTATGTACTGCAAGCAGATCAGTATTTGGGCCTTCAGAGGTCTCCCAGATAATAGATTAGAACATGTTTTCCATATTTGTTAGTCTGCTGTTGTGCAAGTTATCTGACAAAAATCAAGCATTAGCAGGACCATAAGTCACAACAGTTACCAGTTTTGGGGCATTATTTGGTCTACAGTAAGCATGTTCTGCAGAAATTACAGTTTAGGAGTTCGAAGCAGACCAAAAATAGACAATGATCAAAATGAAAGGAAATGATGGTGCTACACACTTACTGAATCATGCAAGGAAAACATTAAGGGGGAGCAAAAATGAATAAAAATCTCACAGCAAACAATACACACACAACCCACCCTCCCGAGAAATCAATACCACACAGCATATTTTTTTGGTTGGCATTGCAGGAGGAAAAAAATAAAAATATTTAGGGATATAGATATAGCCCCATCTATCTCTCAAGCAATGTGCTTGGGAGCACTACTGAGCCAGAAGTCTTGGGAACATTCTATCCTAAATGATATCCGTTAGGAGTCTAAAGTTAGATAATAGCAATCTTAAGATACGAGGTACACACACATACCCAATCTTTGATAGAAGGCAGGGACATGCAAAGTTGTAAAGAATTGGCAGGATGTAAGCCATATGGTTTTAAAAATAAAACCCCACAAATTGCATTACCTAATCTTTGTTTAAATACAAAACTTGTCAGGATAGGGTATCAAAGAAATATTATCAGGGTATATTAAGAGATAAGCCACAGTGTGTGTGTGGGGGCGGGAATAAAATTTTACCTGTAGTAGTAATTACAGAGGTGAAAAAGGACTAGGCTGGCACACTGCAGCAGCCCAGTTATCAAAGCACACTGGTCAGGGACTTAACACAGAAGGGGTTTGTTTTTTGTAAATCACAAAGCAGCAAATAGAGTTAACACAAGCTTTATTTATTTATTTATTTTTTAAAACTGTATGATACACACTGCACTATGGTCGCAAGCAGTTATAAATATGACGGCTACACAGATATAAAACCACCCAAAAATTTTAAATATATCTTACATCCATAGGTGGTACTGAATTCCATCCAACATGTGTTACATGCCTAAAAGGGGGAGATGAAAAAAAAAATTTAAAAAAAGTTTGTGTTTTTTAAATCCAGACAACCACCATTACAATAAAATATTAGACATATTTTAAACAAATAAATATATCCCATGAAAAAGAAATCACGAACCACAGATATAGGATTAACCCTCAAAAGTGGGTGAGAGGTAATGAGGGCTTGACCCTATATGAAAATTGAAAAACCACAACTGAGAGAAGGATCCTATCTACAAGAGAAAGGACCCGGTCGATATAGGATCCTACAATATATCCCAAGCAGTAGTGAAAACAGTCAGAGTTCAGTTACTATATAAGCACACAAAAAAAAATAAAAAAAATTAAAAAAGTGGTAGAGTGTCTAAGGAGTTAAATAGTCTAGAGAGTCTTATAACAGCACTACTATATAACCCCATAAACTGTATAAGGTGTGTGTAGAAGTCACCTACTTGAAATTGGTGGGTGAGCTAATATCAGTTTTCCTCAGTTTGTTTTTTGGAGTAAGTTGCTTGAAGTTTTGTCTTGGGGAACAGTAGATGGAGCCATTTTGAGCTGGGGTCTCTGGTACCTGAAACATGGAGCCTAGGAAAGAAAGGATACGGGGTTTCTGAAAGGAAAGGCTTTAGAGAGATCAAGGTTTACAGAGATGGCCCTATAATAACTGGTTCCAGTTTAGATACTGCAGTTCAGGAAAATACAAGTCTTTGTTTGACCAGAGAACCAGGCCTAAGAGGAGAACTTGCCCCACATCTTTGACTCCTCAATAGACACAACTTTGCCTAGAAGTCACGCTAGTTTCCATCCCTGGATGAGGCAGGAGTCTAGCGCTGACCAGATTCAAAACACACCATCTATATGAGGTTTGGAAAGCACGACATGTGGGGCGGGGGTCCACCTTTTACTCCCACATGCCCAACTCTTGCATAGACAGGTTCCTACTGACTGGCACAGCAATGGGGCAAGTGGAGACTAGCGAGATAGGGCAGATAACTTTGTCTGACCATGCACCAGTGACCGTCACCCTTAAGGATCTATACAACACCCAGCATCGCAGCCCGTGGAGACTGAACGACACCTTGCTACAAGATGGCAAGTTCAAAAGGAACTAACCCTGGCTATGAACCAATACTTTGTTGAAAACAAACCCCAAGATACCCCTCAAGCCACAGTTTGGCAAGCCCACAAAGCAGTGATGAGAGGCTTAATACGAAGGGTGGCATAACTTGGGAGAAACTCCTCACTACAGCTTAAAAAGGTGACAAACAGAACTGTATACCTCAACTGACCCCAACAGAGGATCTTAAAAACCAAAATAGCAAGTATCACTAGACAAATTAACCAACAGGCCCTAGATAAAATAGGCCATACTTTAAAGAAACTTAGGGCCACACAATACTCCCAAGGAAACAAGGCAAGCAAGCTCATGGCCAACAGATTGAAACAAAAGCAAACCAGCCATAGAATTGCCCACTTTTGGCCCCACAGGGAGACAAAATTATAGCCCCTAGGGACACAAGCACCAGGTTTGCACAGAATTATAGCAAACTATCTTGTGGAATGACCCACATACATGCCAACCCGATAAGATTAGACACTCTAGACCAGATCCCCTGTACTCACACCAGACCAACAAAAGTGATTTTTTCATGGAACATACATACATCACAATATAATTACCCGCGGACATCCTGCTAGCACAGGTTGTCACACTCCCAAAACCCAGGAAACAACCAATACACCCCCACAATTTTAGACCCATCTCGCTTTTAAAAACAGACACCCAGAGACTGAACCAAGTTACAAACCCCCCAAAAAAAAAAAAAACAAAAAAAAAAAAAACCCCACAATTCTTTGAAATTTTGCGGATTCTTTGGCTTCTTCTGATGACCATCTTCCTTGGAACATGGTGGAACCCAAGTGAGCTCCCCAGCCTGTGCTTGAGGCGTCTGTAGTGACTACCAACCAACCCCTTGGTTGAAAAGACAATCCTCCTGAAAGGCATGCTGGCATTTTCCACCAAGCTAGCTGATTTTTTACATGAGATGATAGCTTGAAGATTTCATCTAAATCTTCCTCCTTTTTTGACCAGGCAGTTAGGATATTCCATTGCAGTGCAATCCAACAAATTAGTACCCCAGACCTTGCCCATTTGACAGCTGGAAAGGTGGCAATTAGAAGACCCAAAACACCCATTGCCTGTCTGAAGGAAATTTCTTCTCTGATTTTCCTCCTTTTCCGCTTGGGAAGAAAAATTGACACGTAGACTGAATTTATCGTGAAACCGAGAAATTCTAACTCTCTCGTGGGGATGAGTACCAATTTTTTTCTGTTTAAGATCCAGCCATGGTTTTGAAGAACACTTAAAAGTGACCTGCAGGTCCTTGTGCAGCTGTTCTTCTGTATGAGCAATGAGGAGCCAATCGTCCAAATAAGGGATAATTAAAATCCCTAACTCTCTTAAATGAGCTGTTAGAGGAGTAAGGATCTTTGTAAATATCCTTGGGACGGAAGACAGACCAAATGGTAGAGCCCTGAACTGGAAATGAACAATGGATCTTCCCTTTTTATAGCAAACCTCAGAAATTTTCTTGAGGCGGTCGCGATTGGAACATGAAGATAGGCGTCCTTTAAATCTATTTTTTCCATAAAGTCGCCTCTTTGTAAAAGGAAAAAAAAAAAAAAAAAAAATTTTTTTTTACTGGCACTCTTTCTATGTGAAGAAAATATGAAAAGGAGGTTTTAAAGCTTTAAAATTTAAAGAATATATTTTAAAGTAAAGATCAATTTAAATCTCACCTCAAAATACCGCTGAGCCATGTGGGGGGCTTGTGACACAGTGTACCACTTCTGACCTGCATCCATGCAGTCAGTAGGTACTGCACAGCTTCTTATATTTACCAGTTTCAATTTTCGCGGTTTTTTGTATATCTCTTTACGGCTCCGGTATGCGCATGCATGTTTGCGCACCCGGAAGCCTAGGTGGAACGCAATCACCACCCAGGCGTGTGTTCCACCGCTGTGCGCATGCTCGGCCAGAGCTCCACCTCCAAGAAGTATGGCCGAAACCACTCTCTCCACTTGCTCCGTAACCTTATCGGTTAGGAGCATGGTCACTCAGCTTACCATCCGGGCAGCTCTCGGACCGGGTCCCCCAGACCAACAACCCGTGTGTCTCACCCTGTGGATGTCCTGTCCTTCCCTCTCGGGACAAGAAAGAAGACTGGGGAATATCTGAGAGGTATCACACTATAGGGAAAGGGGGAGGGTCCTTTTTAGTTTTAATTGCTAGATGTCTTGTCCACAGGGAGAAGTATAACCCCTCAGTTACTGCCACCATATGACAGAAAAATATAAAAATTAACATACTCAGTGGTTTTGGCTAGGTTGGTGACAAAATGGTTAAAATGTTATTTTGAATGCTTTCATTTAATGGCCTGATGGGTCTAAGTTCTAGAAATATACACTCATGTGAAGCAATTGCTAAAGTTTTAGAGATCGATATATATTTTTAAATCTAGTTTCCCTAAATATTTTGGAGGGACACTATAGTCATCCAGACTACATCAGCTCATTGAAGTGGTCTGTGTAAGGTGTTCCTGGCCCCCTTAGCCCTGCAATGAAAGACAATGCAGTTTTAGAGAAATGGCAAAGATCACATTGCATCATTAAGACTGCAACTAGTGGCTGTCACACAGGTTGCCTGAAGACATCCAGCATCAGTAGAATTCTCACAAAAAACAAAACAAAAAAAAACAAACAAAACAAAAAAACAGAAATTTAAATTTAGGCTTAGATAGCCAAGGGAGAAGATTTCCTCCCACCGAAGGAGTAGTTATTGCAATGTTTAGTGAATAAAGCCCAGTTACTATAACAGACCACTTCTTGTTGCGGACAAATGTGAAACTTGTATACAATCCACTTCCCTACAACAGCCTTAACATTCAAGCTCAATACAGATACGATAGAAATAAATATAATCCTAGACACCCATCAACAAACCACAAAACCACACCACATAGGGTTATTCACTTAACCCCTTAAGGAAACAACCTCTGAAATGAAATTGACGGAATATTTCTGTCATGTGTCCTTAAGGGGTTAAAAGTGAGATTTCTCAGGTATTCAGAGTGACTTGCACATTTAAAGGACCACTATAGTGCCAGAAAAACACTAGTTTTCCTGGCACTATAGTGCCCTGAGGGCGCTCCCACCCTCAGGGACCCCCTCCCGCCGGGCTCTGGGGAGAGGAAAGGGGTTAAAAAACTTACCTTTCTCCAGCGCCGGGCAGGGAGCTCTCCGCCTCCGATCCTCCTCTCCTCTCTTTCGGCTGATGGCGCATGCACACAGCCAGTCTCATAGGAAAGCATTTACAATGCTTTCCTATGGACGCTTGCATGTTCTCACTGTGATTTTCACAGTGAGAATCACGCAAGCGCCTCTAGCGGCTGTCAATGAGACAGCCACTAGAGGATGTGAGGGCTTGATTAACCCATTTATAAACATAGCAGTTTCTCTGAAACTGCTATGTTTATAAAAAAAAAAAAAAAAAAAAAAAAAAAAAAAAAAAAAAAAAAAAAAAAGGGGAGGGTTAACCCTAGCTGGACCTGGCACCCAGACCACTTCATTAAGCTGAAGTGGTCTGGGTGCCTAGAGTGGTCCTTTAAAAAGGCAATATACCCAAACTAGAAACATAACCAATTGAATTTTTGAAGTTCAGCTACTTTGGCCTTAAATTGTGAAAGTCTCACTTTAGTAAAATAACCCTGACAGACAAAACACATTGAAAGCACAAAGTTTTAAATAGACATATGTAGCACACAAAATAATGTGATGGGGGTATAGTTCATACAAACTTATGGCATTAGAGAACACACACATACATATATATCCAGATCAGAACAAATTATTGAGAGGAACTGTGAAATATATGGGATGAGGGGTGCAGGGGGGAAAATAAAGTCACTCACCAATTAAATTAAACAGAGCCATTGTGTGCTAAAATATTACAGTCCAGCAGTCTGAAATCAGGTAACTAAACAGCCTACTGACTGCTTACTTATGATTTGAGTGTAATTAGCAATTAGTAGCACACCTAAACTGGGAGGAGGGAACAGCTGACCAATAATCACATTGAATAGTACATAAGCCATTTAACCCATCTGGTGCTGGGGACCAGTATTAAAGCAGGTTCAAGTTAAACAGTTTCACCCTAGCAACCTTTTGACCAATGAGCTAATATCAGTAGACAAGAAAATAAACTAAAAATTTAAAGGTACATTCCAGAATAGCCCACTGCAGTGGTTATGGTGCTAAGAGTGCCCTTGTGGCCCTCCGACCGACCACTCTGAGATCCCTGGTGGTATTTAGTGACTCTAGACTGCTCTTCTGCTGGGTGCATTCTTCTCAAGAATCCTGACACAGGGTAGTATCAGAATGTTGCTGTGTTTACCCTTGGCAATGCTCTGACAGGATGGTACACGCGGGAGGAATACTCTCAGTCTGCATCTGGTGAGGTGCAGACTAGAGTCTCCTCTCCTGCCATAGAAGTCTGCACTGGCCTGGTGGGGAGATCTTGAATAAGCACTACCAGAGCTGTATTTTTATGGGGATGGGCCCGCGACATGAATAAAGTCATTTTATAAATAAAGTAGCAAAAGTAGACCATGCAGGGAGAACTGTCTCTGTGCTCTCAGCATGGTCCTAGTGCCGTGAGTGTAACATGATGCTCACAAAAGATGCACAAATGAGAACTTTTGCACACAGCATGACGTGACAGTATATGTTTGGATTCCAAATCACGTAAATGTAAATGGATGTCTATCTGAAATGATATGACATAATTTGTGCTCCTTTCCAACCAAGCAATATGGAACTGCACTCAATCCCATCACTCTGAGCCAGGGTGCAACCAAACCAGGACCATCATTTGTGTTCCTGTCATCACCGAGACACCTGATATCCCAGGACAAGGCCAGCCATGCAACTACTTTATTACTCTAGCGTAGAGTAGTGCCTGAATGTATCCAGCGTCATTTAAAGATGTGCTCGCTGCTCCATGAGGTATACATGAGGTATACCTATTGAATTCAATGCTTATCAAGGCTCTGTTATCTGACCTTGAAACTATACTTTCAACCGCATCCTTCTGATTACATCTACTATCCCTAAACGAGTCCCTGCATTATTCATAATTATTTATTACTCTTTGTCTATGCAGTCGTCAAAACACACCACATATTCAGGCTATATCAGTATCACCATTGAGAAAATGCCAAATCCAGAACTGTTGGTGTGGTCTTGAGAACTGGGTTGGGATCTGCTGGTCTAGAGCTCTTAGTTGTCTTAGTTCTTCAGGTGGGCTCATCAGTACATCCGTGTTTTAGCAACCATTACTTTCCACTTTCATTTCTGACTCTGATCTAGGAGGCTTCCTGGACAGGGCAGTAAAGTTTGGAAGGGGGTAAGTTTGTATTGGTAGGACCGTGAAAACAATACTTTCTCTGCTTGTGTTCTGTTGCATTTTGTTCTGTGTGTCTTTGTTTTTACAGTTGTGGTTTTGGGTCCTTGCCAGCCTGTAACAGAAAATTATATACAGGGGAGGTCCAGACATGTTGATTCATATCCTGTGGATGAAGAGGAGGGATACCATTATTTGACTTTTGGAATTAAGCAAGGATTGCTCGTTATTGTTTTAACGCAAAGCTGTATCTTACTCTCCAAGGCATGTACAGGTGGTCCTCATTTTGCGACCTTCCTGTTTTACGACGGTTCGCACTTACATCCAGCTCTCTCTTGGGGGTTTGGTAAGTGCTAATCGTTGTGGGGATTAGAGGGATTCCCTGCTCTGCTGTGTTCGTCTATGTGCCGAATTGTCGAGGTCCCGAAGTTCTGAAATTACCGAATTTACGAAGTGTCGAAGTGCCAAAGCACAGTATTGCCTAAGTACTAATATACTTACCCAGTGGAAGAATGAAGAATGTTACACTGTATACAAGTTTAAATAAAAAGTATACAAACATAGCCAGGATTCAGCTGTAAGCATTTGCAACACTTACAACAATCAAGAAACATACATTCATATAAAATGTAAATTACTTAGCCTGTCAATGGAATGACAGGAATGAAAAAGTAGATAACTCCCTAATTCCCACGGTATTAGGGAGCTATCTGCTAAAAGGCTGAAAGATCTGAATTGGTCTTTTAGCTAAATTTACTAATACTAAGTAAAGATTACTTAGTATTAGTAAATTATGCCCCTACTTGCTATACCGTGAGTAGGGGCATGTCTATTAAACGGTGGGTGGGGGCCCTAAATTAGAATGAGGGTGGGGACCTAATGTCCTCCCCCTGGCTCCCACCCATGAGTGGTGGGTTGGGGCCCTAAATACTAATTAGAGGGGGGACCTAAAGTCCTCACCTAATGTCCTCCTAATGTCCTCGCCCCTGGCCACCACCCCTGTTACATCTCAATTGGCCCAATATGAGTAAGAGGTAGCTTACAGTTGCCATCCACATTATGGTTGCAGTTAAGAAATTGATTGCTAAGAAATGGAAGAATGAACAATCTTTTACTGTATCACACCTTAGAGTTTTGCACTCCAGCTTTCCTCCATGTTTGGTCAGCTGCACAAAAATATAATTCCAATAGAGAAGCCAGCACTCAAGCCAGCACTCAAACCTTTTTAAAAGGTAATGAATTTAATCCAGTAGGTCAACGTTTCAGTTCACATATTTGAACATTTCTTCAGGACATATATACAGGGCCGCCATCAGAAATTGTGGGGCCCCTAACATAGCTCAAGGTCTGGGCCCCCGGGTGCCCGCCTCCAAATCCCGCCCACAGGAATACACACACACAGACACAAAAGGACACAGACACACACACACAGGAAGATACACACATACTAACAGACACAAATACTGAAACAGACATACACACATATAAACAGATACAGATACACACACACATACTGACATACAGACACACACACTGACGTACATACATACTCACATACTGACACACACACATTCATACAGACATACATACATACTGACAAACTGACATACATACATAATGGCATACATACACATACATACTGATATACATACATACACACACACAGATACATACAGACATACTGACATACACACACACAGACATACATGCATACTGACATACATACTGATAGATATATACATACACACATACATACTGACATACAGACATACAGACATACATACAGACATACACACATACATACATACATACAGACATACACACACACACACACAGACATACATACACACATACATACTGACACACACACAGACATATTTACATACTGACATACACACAGACATACATACAGACATATATACATTCTGACATATACACACACACATACAGATAGACACATACACACATACATACATACATACACAGACATACATGCATACTGACATATATACTGACATACTTGCAGACAAATACATACACACACACACCTCATTTATCAGCCACCCTCCTCTTACCTTTAGGTTGCAGGAGGGTGGCTGGGGATGAAGGGAGCGGATGCCTCTGGTGTCCTCTCCTCCGCTCTCCGCTGGCCGTCACTTCCTCCCAGCAGCACTTGCGGTGTAGCCGCAATTTTTTTTTTTAAAGAGGCCCGGACGCGCAATTACCCGGCCACAGCGCTGACTGGGCCCCTGAAGATATAGGGCCCGTCGGGTGGCCCTAAATGCTTTGGCCACCTGATGGGCCCCAGTGCAGATGCACCTGCGGCAGTCTCACCGCTCCACGTGGGGCCCGGGCGGCTGGGCCCGTGACAAGCGTTATGGTTCTCACCCCCTGATGGTGGCCCTGCATATATATATATATTCGGTTCTCAAGCACTTTGCTTGTGTGTGTAAATATTAAGTATTTATACTGGAATTTTTCTTTTTGTTTAGGTGTTAAAGGATCACTATACAGCCAGGAACACAAATGTATTCCTGACCCTATAGTGTTAAAACCACCATCTAACACCCCTGGGCCCCTCATGCCTCCATAAATATAGCAACATCTTACTGTATTCAAGCCTGAAGCTGTAGATCTGCATGCTGTTTGCCTCAGAAAAACAAGCTGTCTGCTGACATCATCAGAATGTATCACTAGGCTGTAATGTAAACACTGCATTTTCTCTGAAAAGACAGTGTTTACAGCAAAAAGCCTGAAGGTAATGATTCTACTCACCAGAACAAATTCAATAAGCTGTATTTGTTCTGGTGACTATAGTGTCCCTTTAAATGTGATTTTATGATATGTGAGATATATTTTTGGATCATAATTTGGTATAAATAAAATATATATATATATATCATTAGACAAAGTAGTAACTATTTTGCCTTATGAGGAAAACGGAGGTTTACAAGATGCGGAGTTGCCACCGTCAACTTTTGGCAATTCTTACAGTTGTTGCTCAAAAGGAACATATTATTGTGTGAATTGTTGTATCTTATCGTTATTTTCAGGGGTCTTGGCAAAATTTGCAGAGACACTGAAAGTGACAAAACCGTTATAAGAAGACTGCTTTTAGATATTGGATTCATTCAATGAACCAAACTTTGAAGAAGATGTCTGTTGAAATATTATTACAAACTTAAATATACACATCATAGCGTGTTTTTTTTTTTTTTTTTTTTTTTTTTTTTTTTTATTTCGTAAAGAAAAGTTTATGGGGTACAGAAAAGAAGAGGAAAGCAGTCAGTTGTTACAAATCGGGGTTTCATAACAGTATGTGCATTGACATATACTTCTAAAACTGCTTTGGTTCTAATACAATCCTGGTTATAGTTAACTTGGGGTCTGTTGGATGATCTTGCATAGATCCTGTCGGATGGTGCTGTTGTCTTTATCTAAACCTATGGGGGGTTAAGTAGCAACTAGGGGTGGTAACCAGTCGGGAGGGTTGGGGAGAAGTGGGAAGTGGGGCGGGGGGAGGGGGTCTAAAGGGGTCCTGCCTGGTGTG